TGTAAGAGCGTATACGAAGTTACATACGGATGCATGTGTGTATGGATACGGTTCGATTTTGCTACAGCGAGATAGCGAGGACGGTACGCTGCATCCAGTGTACTATGCGAGCGGCAAAACCTCACCTGCGGAAGCGCGGTACACCAGCTACGAGCTTGAAGTGCTCGCAATAGTCAAATCCCTGAAAAAATTTAGAGTGTATTTGTTAGGGATACAATTTAAAATTGTGACGGATTGTCAAGCGTTTGTTATGACGATGAATAAGAGAGATTTTTGCGTGAGAGTTGCGAGATTGCCGTTTTTGTTGGAGGAGTTCCAGTACGAGATTGAGCACCGACCGGGCAGAAGTATGATGCATGTGGACGCCCTCAGCCGTAGTCCCCTTCCCGTGTGTTTGCTGTTGGACGAAGAGGAGGACGGTTTCATCGCGCGGTTGAGAAAGGCTCAGCGAGAAGATCCAGAACTGAGAAATATCTTCGACTCTGCGGAGCGCCAGCAGGTGGATGGCTTCACTGTGAAGAACAGCCTTCTGTTCAAGGAATGTGAAGGCGGCGACTTACGTCTGGTTGTTCCGAGAGCAATGCAATCGCAGGTAATTAGGTGGGCCCATGAGAACGGTCATTTTGCTGTAGGCAAGACGGAGGCTCTCGTGAGGAGGGATTACTGGCTCAGGAACTTGCGTTCCAAAGTGGAAAAGGTTATTCGTAGCTGCATTAGCTGCATACTATCAGAGAGAAAGCAGGGCAAGCAAGAGGGCCTGCTGAATCCTATCGCGAAGGGAGATTTACCGTTAGACGTGTATCACATTGACCATTTGGGACCATTGCTCCCAACAAGGAAGAATTACAATCATATTTTCGTTGTAATCGACGCATTCACAAAATTCGTGTGGCTTTATACTACAAAGATAACCAACACGGCCGAAGTATTGGATCGATTGCGAAAACAAGCAGTTATTTTCGGAAGTCCGCGACGAATTATTACGGATCGCGGGACAGCGTTTACATCGTATGACTTTGAGAGTTATTGTAAGGAAGAGAACATCGAACACATACTAATTACCACCGGCGTTCCGAGAGCGAATGGACAGGTCGAGCGGGTAAAACGTACGGTCATCCCGTTACTGACGAAGTTGTCCGCATCAAGCCCGAGAGAATGGCACAAATATTTAGACGTGGCACAGAAGTATCTCAATGCGACGCCCAGTCGAAGCACTCGTGCGTCACTGTTTGATTTGATGTTTGGAACACACATGAGACTCAAGAGTAATCCGGAGATAAGAGAAATAATCGAAAATGAATGGATAATAATGTCTCAGGAAGGACGTAACGAAATTAGAAGGCAGGCCAAAGAAAATATTATGAAGGCTCAGCAGGATAATAGAAGAAGCTTCAATAAAAACAGGAGGGATCCGAGGCGTTATGATCGAGACGAATTAGTCGCGATTAAGAGGACACAAATGAAACCAGGATTAAAATTCGCAAGGAAGTATCTTGGCCCATATCGGATTACAAAAGTCCTACGCAATGATCGATATATCGTCGAAAGGGTCGGCGAGCATGAAGGACCCAGACAGACCGTAACGGTAGCCGAGTATATAAAGCCTTGGATCCCCTATGATGACAAGTTTTCCGACGAAGAAAATGCAACGAGTGCATCTGAGGACAGATGCTTGACCAGAATGGCCGAGTATGGGATCTAGATTTTGGGAATATTGAGAGCGCTCAATCACGTGATCGACATACAGGTGACATGCCTCGACCGCGTGCGTGTGCGTGTCGGGCCTGTCGCTAATACGGTTCGGAGCGGCAGTCGTCTACCGGTCGCCGAAACGATAAGACGTATTATAATTTGACTATACCGCTCAATAATGTACTCGCGTCAAATAAATGTAGTATGAGAATAAAGTTTACCACAGATGCTATATTATTAATTGCGATGAATGACGGTTTAAATTTAAACGATATAATAGGTAATGTGGTACAAGATTTAGGACATCAAGTGCCATATAATCTGGAAAATAGAAGGCGAAATGCAAGGCCACGAAACGAAGATTACTTCGAAGTAACAATTCCTCGATATACCGATGTACAGTTTATTGAACACTGTAGAATGTCACGATATACATTTGAGGTATGTACACGCACACATAGACGCGCGCGCGCACACACACACACACACACACATACAGGGTGAGGCATCTAAGACAATTATTTGTTTTTTTTTTCCACTCGAGGTAAGCTACAAGAACATGTAATGAGAAATAGGGGGTTCCATTTAAAAAAATGGAGATGACCTTCAAATCTCCTATGCGCCTCCACTTAAAAAAAAATGTTCACTTCCACAAGATTTCCCCCTCGATACCATACTTTTATTTCAAACATTTTCTTCTATCTCCAAAACTGTGGGAGTTATTCGGGTGGCCTGTCTTAGATGCCTGACCCTGTATATATACAGGGTGTGTCGAAAGTCTGGATACACTCAAATATCTCGTAAACATTGCATTTTAGAGAAAAATATTTCAGAGAAAAGTTGTAAGGCTTAAAAAGACACAATCAACGGTAATAGCTGTTTGACCTTGGATGGCGTTGCCAAGGTCATATCAAGGTCAAATTGAATTTTTTAAATGGAATTGCCTACTTTTTATTGCATATTCTTGTAGCTTATCTCGAGAGCTTTTCAAAACACTATAATAAAGTATTTTTTCATTAAGTACTTTTTGAGTTATTTTATATCTTATTCTGACATATTTTGATATAAAAAATAAAATATCTCGTAAAATATTTAGTTTCCGATAATCTTACCGTAATACTTTTATGTACAGAATAATGAGACAAATCAATT